GGGATCTCAGTGTGGTGAGGGGGGTGCAGTGAGGGACAGTGGGCGAGAAACTAAAGAAGGAGGTGTTGGAGGACAGAGGTGAGAGGCTGGGGGGGAAGGAGAAGTGAGAGGCAAATGACGGGAAAGAAGGAGAGGTGGCGTATGTGGAGAAAGAGGGAGAAAGCCAGGGTGAGGGAGGGGGCGACAGATAGTCGTGGCATGGTGTGGAGCAAGAATGAGGCTGAAATGGGGAGTGAGATGGAAACTTAAGAGACTCTTCTCTCCTCTCAGATGTGCAAATAGCATCCGCGGGCGTTGCATGTGGTCGTTTGGCCGTCTCACTCACAGCAGTTCTCTGGCTGAGGTCTGGGTTGGTGTGGTTCGGCTGGTGGCTGTCTGTGTGGTGCTGCAGCCCCTCGATCAGGCTCGTTCTCTGTGCCGGTGTTATTCTGTGCATGTAGCTGGTCAGCTGGGCCACACACTGCTGAAAACCTGCACTCTCCATGGTGAACAGAGCAGGAGCGTTGGCTTCTGAGTGATGAAGGTTTACCACAGGAGGATGAGTCTTTGTGTGTCTATTAGTTGAGTCTGCAACGACTGAAAAGACACCAGGGATGAGGGATAAAACAGGCTGATTAAAACACTTAGAAAGGAATATTATGACCATTTTCAAACATTTTAACAAGTTAATAACTTTTTGGTAACACTTTATATTAAAGTACACATATTCACTTTTACCTGGTTGCTTATTAGTAGCATACTGGCTCTTTATTAGTCATTATAAGGCGCATGGCGACAATCTACAACTACTAGACTATTCACATTTTCCCTCAATAGACCCATAATTAGTGCTTATTGATAGTTAGTAAGTAAGGAAGTTGTTGTACATGAATTACCATATTGATATGCTTCGCTCAGTATATGTAATCAGTCTCTCTTATGTGACAAAACACAAAACCACATGTCTAAATAAGTCTAAATGAAGTCTTTCTAACTCAGAATATGTTCCCTATTCTAAAGGGAGATATTGCTCATAACTAAGCAAGACCTTGAATATAAACTGTGATCATTTAAAAAGTTCTAAAAGATTTCAATTCAAGTTTAAAACAAGATGAACAGTTTGAAAAAACATATTCTTAATTTAGAGTTATTTGAACACTACTAACACTAGTAGGTCATAATAATAGTCATAAATAATCATATTTATTAATTTGTTATTAAGGGACATTAAGTATTCTTATGGTACAAATATTACAATTACATTATAAGGCGCATACTGAGCAAAGTATATTGGGAACAACTTCCTTACTTACTATCAATAAGCAGTAATCCGGAGGTTGTTGAGAGCAAACTCTTGTTTAATGGCCAAGTAGTTGCAGAATATAGTCAGGTAGAATACTTATATCCAACATTAACTAGTTTCTTTTAAGCATATTGGTTCTTTATGTGTAACTTAAAGTTTCACCAAACTCTTTTCTTTGACTAACCATTGCTCTGGTTCTTCCCATTCGTCCACTTTTGAAGATATTCCACAGCAAAGTCAAGAATCTCTGCTTTCTCTATTTTAGGATTCTGCAGCCGCTGCAGGTGAGAACAGTGAAACAAGAGGGAGAAACACATTTTCATCATTGTCAGGGTTATGATTGGTTTATATGTGTGTAGAGCCTGGATGTGATTTTCTTGACAGTGACTCACTGGATCAGATGTATGATTCAACAGCAAACTTCTCAGCTCAGCAAGACTTTGATTTATTCGATCTCTTCTCTTCTTTTCCACAACTGGTTTCAGAATCTGGGAAGAAACAAACATTATGAGTTAAAGTTGTGGTCACTCAATCACGGTATTAACTATTTTACCAATATTTAAAGACACTGACACCAGTTACATTAATGTAGTTATATGCAGTAAAAATGTTTTTTCATTAATGGTTTAATGGTTATTAAGGCTGTATAAATCAATAATAAGCCATTATTAACATGCCAGGTTGTGAAAAAACATGTGTGCATGAATAAACCTGGCAGCCCAAACAGATTTCTGGCTTTGAACTGCTCAATAAAGGATTATCACATCATTTAATACCATTAATAAAGCATTAGTGACAACCTGTAAATGGTTCCTTTTAGGCTCTTACCCGTTTTCTACTCTTGCCATCTTCCAGAGTGGGATTCTGTAGTTTCCTGGTCATGTTGCAGTGTTTGGTCCAAGTGTCCTGAGTGGAGGCTGCAGCAGTTCAAACAGTCTCCTGTTTGGTCTGTGGACGGTTATATGTAGACCTCGTGCTGCCTCTCATTGGCTGACAGGTGCGAGTGACGACACTTAACCGAAAATGGCCTCTGCTAACTTTATTATGGGCTGTGGATAAAATCGAAACTAACTATCAAACAGTAATCAGGTTGTTAAGGGTCTCTAAAACAACGTACACGATAATTAAATATCAATGGCTTTAGAATTCACCTATATCTTATATTTAACAAATGACAGAGGCTGCATGGTGTAGTTTTATAATTTATCAATCAAATGTATCACTCAAGACATTAAATTAAATAATGCTGCTTCATTTTGTAGTGAGAACACCTTCATATAGATGCATACATACGTAATACTTAAATCAAATCTTGTTAAATGAGTCTATCTCCATCCTTTCCATACATCATTAATTAATTTAATTAGGCTAAATGAGCATGCTGGTTTCTTTTAAAAGCTTCCCAGGAAAAAAAAAAAAAGAAGCACCCGTGAAGTGAGACTATGGGAAAGTTTTTTCTTTCTCGTGGGAAACAGAAATGAAGTGAGAAAGCGAGCAGCTACGAGGACTTTTTATGATGTGTGAGACATTTGCACTTTGCATTAAGTGATAAAAAAAAAAAAAACGAGGATCGAAGAAGCTCAACTGCAAACACCCTCTAAACTAAAGTATAGTTTTTGCACTAAAACACACACACTACTTTAAATAGAAAGAAATACATGTATCAAATAAATAAGCCAGATATAGATACCACATTAACAACACTGTGGGGCAGAAGGGGAGCAGCAGGTCACGTGTGTGTGTGTGTGTGTGTGTGTGTGTTGATGCAGTGAAGTGTGAGGACGATCATCACACCTGAGTGTTAAGTGTGCTCTGCCTCAGGTCAGCTTGGTACCTGATGTTTGGACTTCACACAAATATCAAACCAGATGTTCACCAACAACATCAGGCACCCGTTTGATTCGGGCTCTTTTGTCCGTGTGGCACGACACACCCGACCGGCCACGATATTAGAAGTGTACGGTCCGTTTCTCTCCCACCAAAGGGAGCATTCCCACTAATTAGTTTCCATCACAGGCTCAGGCGAGCACATTATAGGACTTATTTATGGGGCGGGTCCACGTGGCTTAAACCCCACAGAGAGAGAGAGAGAGAGAGAGAGAGAGAGAGAGAGATAGTTACCAAAACAAATTAAATGTATATTTTCTCTATAACTACAAGATATTCCCGGAGGAATAAAAAAGAAGGGAGGGGCTTCTATAATGGAAATTGTATGTTAAATGCTGAAATCTCCAAAGAGAGTTTCCTTGGTTACCGGGAGTCATCTCTGGGCCTCCACTAATCGCCCTCTCTTTGATTTAAAACGGAAGTATTATTGCCTCTGAAAGGCCACTTAATCTACGGGATCCCCGTGATCCGATCATCCCAGTGTTATCTCCACACTTGAGCCTATTATGGGGATCAGGGCGACCATAAATGCAGTGCAGGAGAAAGCTACCCCCCAACAAAAAAAAAAAAAAAACTTTGAGAGGAAAAGAGGAAGCCCGGGGGGAAATTGTGCATCCTCAATGTAGAAATTGTGATAGAGGAAATCTCCTGCGCAGATCTTGTGCCAACCACACCCACTGGAGATAAACACAACTCCTTCACACACGACTCAACAGTTTAAGGTGTGAATTGGGCAATTTGGCTCCATGACACCAGGCCAGGTCCTGTGTTTGGGTGGGGGTGGTTTCAAATCAATAAGCAGAAATGTCTTCACCAGTTGCATCTATCTATATTTTATTCCATCATTTAGTAGAAAAACGGTCTGAAATGTGACTTTTAATTGTAGATGTACAAATAATAAAGTGTAGAGGTCATCATTTTTAGCATTATTTTAAATATTTTCTGCATTAAAAACTCCATACAATGTAGTGAAATCAAACAAAAATAGCAGCCCTCTTATGCAGTTTAACTCTTATTCAGTATGAAGTAAGATATGAGATATTCATCACGGCATCAGACTGAAAGCACATTCACTCAAGTGCTTAATTACAAATTCATTGTACTTTAAGGCTACTTTACTTGAGTATTTCCATTTGATGCAACTTTATACTCAACTCAGAGGCAAATATTGTACCTATATTTGTTTAACAGCTTTAGTTACTTTCAGAAATTTCAAATTAGGTGATTTTAAATTTCAATTTCAATGTTAACCTGGAGGATGAACTGGTCCTTTATGGGTCAATTATCAAACTGAATTAATATAAATTACAATCTAAACAGTATATTTCCACTCAAGGACCCCTTGTTGATCCCCAGACCTCAGTTTGAAAACCAACTACAGTCAATAAAGTGCACTTAACTTAAACATTATAGTAAAATATCAACATACAGATGAATGTATGTGTAACACTGACAGTGATTTTTCTGCAGTGAGTACTTTTGACATACCCAAAGTATATATTGTGTTTGATTTAATTTAAATAAATGTTGTTGTTTATTTTACTGAAGTTAAGGATCTACATACTTTTCCCACCTCTGCTGAAACTGCTGCTGAATTACTTTAAGAAGTTTTTAATGATTTGGTTGAACTTCTGCTTAATGAAGTTCAATATATATTGTAATGATATAAATATGTGAAGTCATGTGTAGGGGGTGTGCTTGAGGCAAAGGGGATGACTGGATTTGGATAAAATTCAAATTTTCCTCAGTGTCAAGGCCGCGTGCTGGTAAATGAATAAGAGGCGTGTCCCGCAGGGGCGGAGCTATCTGCAGGTCACGTCAACAAATTGCAATGCGCACACAAATGTTTTCATTTCTGGATTAACGACAAAGACAGACACGAGTCAACTTTTCCATCATGAAGGCTTTATCTTCACCAGAGTCTCCTCGACACAGGACCATGAGAAGGGTAAGCTTCTTTACATTCAGACTCTTTTAAGGACTTTATGATGGAGAGGTTCGTTTAAAATGTTGTTCAGGGTTAGCACTGTAACATTTTACTTTTTCAACCCCAAAGGTGTCTAAACCTCTGATGGAGAAACTCAGGCGGGAGCGGATCAACCACAGTCTGGAGACATTAAGACTCCTGATGCTGGAGAACACACACAATGAGGTAAAGCCCGTGCGTAATGCTCTTATTTATAGCTGATGTCTGATGTCAGGATGTTATTCTAGTGCCCACTGTGTGACTGATGTATACTCTTATTTCTCCACGTAGAAACTGAAGAATCCAAAGGTGGAGAAGGCAGAGATTCTGGAGAGTGTGGTCCATTTCCTGAAGACAGACAAGGAGGTGGAGAAGGGCCACCGGGCCATGAAGAGAGTCCTGTCCAGGGAGCAGAGACAGACCAGTGCCCGCCAACACAACTACAACGACGGCATGAGGTCCTGTCTGCTGAGGGTCAGCCACTTCATAGCCAGCAAGAGCCAGGAGTTAGAGGAGACCGGTGGGGTTCAGGCTTCTCTTGCGCTTCCCGAGCCCCAGACGCACCCATCCGCCCACGGGGCACTGGCATCCGCTCCTGTTGGGGACTCCGGTGCTCTGTCCCCTCAGCATCTGTCCCACCAGCACGGGATCTCTGGTGCGTACCTCACCCAGGTGACCGGCCTGCACTGTGACTCCAGGGAGCTGTTCTCCTCCAGGGCCGCATGCACGCACATCACCGACCCCGTGTGGAGGCCCTGGCCTCAGTGACAGACACTTTGACAACAGATTTTTATTTTTTATTTTACATATAGATGCCGACAGACTGTAAATATGTATTTTATTGTACAGCTTGCTTCGCAGACGCATTATTTTTTTCCTGTCTCTTTTTTAAAAGTTGTGCAAAGTGTACATATGTGATATTTTTAGGCGGCAGTGTCTGCTGATTGCTGGTATTTTTAAACACGGTTACAACTCTGTATGGGTGTATTTGGTGTTGCTTAAGCCTGCTTTGACTTTTAAAACATGATCAGGTGTATAAATTCTATTTTTTTGGCTATCTTTTGCTCTGTGATGTATATATTTGAGACATGATACTGGAATTTATTTTATGATTGTGCTTCCTCCCTGTTCTCATTTACAATAAAACAACTTCCTGATCATTCCAGATCCAGAGTGGCCTATTTGCTGTGCGAACAGTTTGTACTTGAGCTGCACTTTTTACAGAACAGGGGGACATCCAATCGAACAGTTAACACATACTTATATCCAGGCTGGACAGCAGTTATGGCACATTTGTCCATTGACATGCTGATGACTGGGGGAGTTGTTTGCGTCTATGATCTCAAGTGCAGTCGTTCAAATGTAGAGAAACAATGAGAGTGGTCAATCACACACTGCAGCACCCAGTCTGCCTCAGGTGGTAGCACCCAATCTACCAAATCCACATTAATGTCCAAGTGTGTCAGACCTAACTGACTGTAGTGCATCCAGTCTTTATCGTACATTTTCTACATCTCTTAAGTATAAAGCAATGAAATATGCAATAGAAAACGGTTTACTTGTCATGCAGTGTGGAAGGAATTTCATGTAAAAAACAATTGTTTCTTTAAAAGGTTTAGTCCCTTTTGGCTGCACCAGCAACAAGTGTTGAGCTGCGTTTTTACCACCTACTCAAATTCTCCAGGTGCAGAATTACACTGTTTATGTTGGAGGAGGCAGAATATAGAGCAGCTGTCTCTGGTGATGGGGGGAGGCTGACCCTGAATCTGCGATACTTCTCTGCCAACAAAATACATTATGTAATAATTATGCAGAAGAGTTTCAGTAGGAAGTTGTTTACACTGTGTTGGGGGTCGGGGGGGTTGCTGGATGAAACTGTCTGGGTGCTGCAGAGTGTGGACAGTGTGTTAATGGTCGTTGTCGTGTGCTATTCTACATTTGAAAGAAGAAAAAAAAAGGGCGGTAGAAGCATCGAGCTCACTCCTATCAACATATCAATGCACACTTAAAGGTCTCATAACTGCTCTGCATCCATCCTGCGTTAAGTATCAAACAGTACTTCCCCCTTGAGGCTACTGGAAATAAAAGAGGAATGCAGCTCATCTAATCACTGCTTGATTTATTGAGGCTTAATATTCATATATTTTACAGGAAGATTGGTTGATAATGCTTTTAAAATTAGATGATGCACTGAAATCCACACAGCTTTTATTCCATGGAAGCAAAGAGGTTATACAATTAGACGAACATATATTTATATATATAGACTTTTTTTTTTGAAGAAGCAAATCTATATAGTTTGTCCAATGTATCATCTTTTTGAGGTTCTGGTTGGAGGATGCACATTCCTTCAAAGCCTGTTTGAAAACCTCCTTTATCAAAGCAGGTGTTAGTCCCGCTGGGCTGAACTCTGGACAGGATGCTCTTTTGTGCGCTTTAAAGCTTCAACCTCCTGGAGAAAAGCCCACAGGACTAAGTAAATCAATTAAAGTTGGAATCAGATTAGGGTTTTAATCTGAGGGGGTTTCTATCTAAATGAAGATTAAACGGCTCCAGTGGCAGAATGTGTTGTGAGTGTAAAATGGGTACGATATATTATAGTCCAATGCGGATGGATCTACTTAAAGTTTGTTTACTTTATAGACAAAAAAAGCCCACGGAAATGCGTCCTATACTGACTGCAAAATGACCCCAGTTTTAACAATCCTCCAGCAGCAGTTGTTTCTGTAACTGTTGGTTTTTACCACATCAACGCGAACACAATAAATGCAAAGTGATACATCACCTTTTGGCCTCATCAGCGAACCATTTGATGACTGTAGTTCACATAACGAGCACTCATGATACTTTTATTGGATGCTTCTCATATAAAACCTGGAATTATTTAAAGTTTCTCTTTAATTCGTCAGTTTTTAGAATTATCTAGGGCTATACCTATCATAAATGCTTTAAAACCTTAATAATTTACGCATAATGAGCCAAAATAATATGTTTAATTGGACTGTAACAGAGCTTCAGAGATTATTTCAGTCTTTATATATTGTAGAATATAAAGTACATACATACTATATATAGCCTATACATATGTTCATAGACCGGTGTGGCCACGTGTCGGCTGAATGCTGGGTATTATGAACGCGCCACACCTCAGGGTGTTAATGGGTTTGCTGCTCCACGCGCCAGAGGTGACAGGCTCGTGCACGAACACAGCCATTTGTGACTCAGTGTTATTTCTGCGCGCGTGTTTGTGTGTGTGTGTGTGTGTGTGTCTTCAGTTATTTGTAAATGCAATAAGGCTGTAAAACATCTCTACGCAGGTAAAATCTGTGATGATTTAACACAAATATTCTGCTAGAAGAGGTTAAAACTATATTTGTTTTGCGTAGATTTTGCGGTCATTTATATTAGATTCCTGTGTGTTTAGTTCAAGACCTTTATTTGTAAAACAAGGTTTTTAATTTAAATTAAAATAGTAGTAATAATTACCACATTTAGGAAAATCTGAATTTTTGGGGGGCATTCTGCGTGGTTGGTTGGACATAAAGTTTGAATGTTGTCTGGAGGCTAAAAGGATAGAAATGTCTCTAAAGGTTTCAAGAGCACTTTTCATCCTGTATTTAAGACAGAATTTCCCGGAATGTTCCGCCTACTGGTGGATGAAACAATTAAACTTCAGCGGGTCAATCAGTAATTATTAATACTCAGGCCACTAATTGTAAATGTATAGCCATTCTAAATGTCTCAGCTAGAGTTTGCATTTGCTATTAAGCAGGTTTTTGGTTCTTAAGACCTTAGAAGACTTTGTTTTGGATTATTCATGTTGCCTAAATCCTCCGCTGGTGGTAGACGGCGGGGGAAAGCACATTCATTAAGGGGAACAATGCTGCACCGCTGCGCTTTTTTTCACTGCTGCGAGGTGTGGGGCGGGTCAGTGGCTGCACAACAGCTGCCCCGGTGGCCACCAGCCTGCCCCAGCAATTACAGCAAATGTTCAGCAGACAGAGGCGCACACACACTCACACAAAGGTGCTACACAAACCTGTTCTGTGACCAGTTAAAGAGAAACTCTGCGCAAAACAATCAAAACTGAGGAAAAATTGGTGAGTTCATGAAAAACATGTTTATTAGTAACAAGAGAAAAGTCACAGTAATAATGCTGCAAATGACTGACAAGCAGGATTTACTTTATCTTGTGGGTTTACATTATATTATGACTGACCCCTTCTATGTTTATCTATATGTGCGTGTTGTGTTGTGTTGTGTGTGTGTGAGCATGCAGCTGGATCACTCGGTCAGACTTTGCCAACAGCCAGGCCCTGGGCTTTCTGAAACTCCTGCTGTAAACTGGACAAGACTTCTCGATGCTGTTCAGATTTCTTTTCCATTTCTTTCAGGAGCGCCTCATACCTTTGACTGTAACAGGAAATTAGAAAAAAACAAGACAAAACACAATGTAAGATTCATTTCATAAAGCGAAAACACATTTATATACTGAAGGCACTGACACGAAAGATGTTATTGATGATACTGCGACTGTATATATATCCCACACAAACAGAGGGTGCTGGAGCAGACAATGGGAGTTATACAAAAAGCTCCAGACTAAAGAGAGATTATAAAGTTAATTCAACAGCACTCTGAGGTTCTTTAATGCCTCCTGCTGTGGCAAAATACACAGAAATGATGGACTGAAGACTGAGACAGGGATGTTGTGCATTGTCTAAGTCCTTACTGCCCCCTATATGTGAGTGAGTATATTAGCTATGCACCAATTTTATTTTTTTTAAGTAGTCAGGTGCCTACTTGTGTGAGGAATTTCCAGTCAGTGCCAACATTGCCCAGGCGCCTATTAACACTGAGTATGT